TCTTCAGACAAGATTTTCAATCTTTTCACTAGTATTCAGTAGGTTTCGATCAGAAAATTACAATTTAAGTGAAACCTAATATGATATGCCGAATCAGTATCCCTAACTGAATAAGCTTATATAGATTTCAAATGTTTTGACAAACTTTTTTGTTTGCGTCAAAAAATTTACCACTGATCCTCATCAGGATTGGGTCAAAAATATGAATTTCATGAAAACTATTTTTTTTCTTTATTCATCTGCTCTTAATAGTTCTGCTATGATTCCATAATCTTAAAACTTGATTTTGATTGTCAAAATAACTTTTTCATGAAGTTCATGTTTTGATCCAACCTTGAGAAGATCTAGAGGAGAATTTTTCGATAAAAAAAAAACATTTTTTCAAAATATTTGAAATATACATAAGTCCACTCAGTTTGAAACACTAATTCGACATATCATATTAGTTTTCACTCAAATTGTAATTTCCTGATCAAAATCTACTGAATACTAGTACAAAAGGCAGAGAAATCTTTTTCTCGATATTTTTATACCATTTTGAAAAGAATTGCTTATCATCAAGATGTGAGAATCACTGACTATTTCGATCGAACTGTAGACAATACAAATAAGTGCTATATGACCAATTTTATTGAGAGCCAATTTCAATAGTTATCAACCGTTCCTACTCTATAGTGAATTAACTTTCTATATAATATTTTTAAATAATCTAGGAGAAGACCGTTGGTTAACAACACTTCTTCTGCAACAAGGTTATCGTGTTGAATATTGTGCAGCATCTGATGCATTTACACATGCACCAGAAACATTTAAAGAATTTTTTAATCAACGTCGTCGTTGGATGCCTTCAACAATGGCAAATATTATTGATTTACTTAAAGATACAAAACATACAACATATGTTAATGAAAATATTTCAAAATTATATATGTTCTATCAAGCTGTTCTATTTGTCTCAACGATTTTAGGACCAGGAACTATTCTATTAACTATTGCTTCAGCATTACGTACTGTTTTTTCAACATTAACTATTGCCGAATCATATACAATATCAATTTTACCAGCACTTTTCTATATACTTGTATGTCTCAAAACAAAAGCCAATACACAAATTGCTATTGGGGCTATTATGACAGGTAAAATATGTAAAATTTGATATCAAATAAATTTTTATTGATAAATTTCAGCTATCTATGCATTGGTTATGTCTATGGTACTTGTAGCAACAGCTGCTCAAATTCTTAAATCAGGTTTCTTAGATCCAAGTGCAGTCTTTTTACCGAGTGTAGCTATAATATTTATTGTTACTGGTTTACTTCATCCAAATGAAATGTTTAATTTAATTCATGGTTTTCTTTATCTTATAACAATTCCCGGTGGTTATCTTTTACTTGTTACTTATGCTTTATGTAATTTACATGTTGTTTCATGGGGTACAAGAGAAACAGTTGAAGTTGTGCAAACGAAGAAAACAAATAAATCAGGTGAAAAAGTAATTGTTACAGAAGGTAACGAATATTAGTTAATTCATTTATTGATTTATCTAGTTTTTGTTTTTTCTTTAATTTAATACTTAGATCCAAAAAAACGTCGAACAACAGATGTTCTTAATGATATGCTTTGGGGTAATAGTAGTGATGGACAACGTGGATTTATTCATCAAATGGGTGATGTTATTGAAAATGTTTTTCGACCAACAGTTAAACGACAAGAAATGTTATTACAACAAATTATAACCAAACTTGATCGAGAAAATTCCAATCATGAAGTAAAAAAACTAAACGGTAAAATCTAAAATATATTTCATGAAATACAATAGAAGTGTTTTGATATTAAATATCAAGTTTCATGTGTATATTATCCATATTATCACCAATGAGTTTGTCTTATAAGGATTTGAGATTCGAATAGGTAAAGTCAAATCTAGTAGATTGATAATTTACGCTATTGAAACACTTCAATAAATAAAAACAAACTTTATAACACTAAAAGAAGACGAGTTTTCACAGTAAAATCTTCATAGATTTATCATCTCTGTTATTAGTTAGATCTCTTCAAGAAAGGAAATCGTTTATAAGTAGAATTTTGCATCATATTCTACATGACCAAAGTGTTTTTTTTAGATATCAATATACATGAAACACTTAATACAGATTTACTTATTGTACCAAGTGAAACTGATCTACCTGATAATTATTCATCAAATACAACATTAACAACATCAATATGTAATAAATCTCGAAATAATATGATTAATCCATATTGGTCAGAATTATCATGGCTTGGTTCTGAATCAGTTATTGGTTATCTTCGCACAGATGAAATAACATTTTGGCAACAACTCTTATCAAAATATTTAACACCACTTGATAAAGATGCTGAAGAAGAACGACGTATACAAGTGGATTTAATTAATTTAAGAAATAATGCTGGTTTTGCATTTTTTATGCTCAATGCTATTTGGATTATTTTACAATTTCAATTTGAATATATTGCAACAAAATTTACTGAATTAATGATTGATATTGGTCAATTATTTGGACAATCCGGTACAAAAGTACAATTATTAGGTTTATTATTTATGATATTTTTTGCATCATGTATGGTAATACAATTTACAACAATGCTTTTACATCGTTGGGGTACATTTATTGAAATATTAGCTAGTACAAAATTATTTGAAAAACATCGAAAATATAAATTAAAACCTGGCTCTGATATAGCTGGTATGACAAGTCAAGAAGTAGCTGAAGTTTTACGTGAATTAGATATTCAATTAGTTGTACCACCGGTGACAAAAGTACCAAAACAAAGTGTAACATTTCAAATGGAACCTGTTATTAATGAACAACTTGATATTCAAAGTCCAGATTATGATGAAGATGAAGATGAAACAGATGATTTTGAAGATGTGTATACTGAACCACCTATCGATTATTTTGATCATCCTGTTGTACAAGAAGCTGCTGATGAAAGTCGTCTTCGTATGACATAATTGACCAATCTTTTCTCTTGTTTTTATTTCAATAATTTTCATTTAGCTTTTATTTTTTTTATATTTCCGTTTTAACCATAAACGATTCGATAAACAGTTGAAAAAAAACAAGATTAAGTATAGGAAGATATATATATATACATATATTCATTTTTAATATTTTACAAAAATATTTTAGAAGCATCTTTACCTATCAATCAAACTATCGCTGAGTTATAAATGATGATGCTCATTAAATATTTTTATTTCGATGTAAATGTATTCTAATAGCCTTGCCTAAATAGTACTTATCCTTCAGTTCTGTTTGCCTCATCATTGTCACAAAATGCAAGACACTACAACAGTGAAATAGGGCTATTATAGAATGTTGAAAATTAACTCTTAATTTCTTTTTTTAGTTATTTTGTACAATGATTTAGGTGTAATATTGTTGATTGGTTTGAACATAGATACATCTAACCGCAAAGTGTATTTTTATCTTTTACTTTACTTTAACCTTTCAATTTCGTTGGTGTTCGTTCAAAAAAGCAACAAAAGAGAAAAAGAGAAATGTAGGACAGACAAGGATCGGTTACGCTTGACTGCATCCTACGTACGGCCAGAAGAGAAAAAAAAGAAACGAAGAAGATATTCTTGTAGTTTAACCAACTCACATCGAACATCAAGATGAGTCCGTATACATACACTACAAAAATATAACGCATATATAGCCTACCCATCGTATTATCAAAACTCGTTTACAAACATTCTTTTATCAACAATCGTCGTATGGTTGTTAGGTCATTACTATCATCTTTTCTTGTTTCGATATTACAAACATGATGAGTTCTTAAGGCGTTAGACGTAATTATAAAATTAATTAAACAGGTAGGAAAGTATTCGCACTATTTTGTAGTGTGCTCTGCACATAAACAAAAAAACATGTTAATCAATTAAACAGTATATTTATTAGTTTTTATCTATTTTTGTTTTATTTCTACAGGTATTTGAATACATATTTTTTATAATTCTGATTGCTTGCTTATTCAAAATTTTTTGTACATGAAAGATATCACAAAGTTATCCTAAATAAACATCTATATTGAAATACTCATTTTGTTTTCAAGGATATCTATTATTTTCGAAAAACAGCCTTGTCATTTGGCAATACATATTTCAAAGGCATATCAGTTATTGTCAAATGAAATTAGTTAGTTGATACGATGTAAAAAATAATTACTGATCTATTATAATGAATAGATATTAATAGTGAAACATAGGTATAAAGTCGAGAGAGTTTCAGCAATCACTTAGGCAATTTTCAATTATTTTTCTAGATATTGGTCATGTTGATAATGAAGGGAGCATTAATCTATCTGTGTCGTCATTTGATGTCTTTCTGTCTCTCTCTCTCTCGCCATCTCTATTCCTCCCTTTCTCGCCATTTTTCTCTCATTTAATATTCGCCATATCACAAACGATACGCTTGAGATGAAGCATAAGATATGGGTATTTAGTTGTCGTCGCTTCTTACTCTACACACTCATTTTTTTTCTTCATCTTTTCTCTCTTTTCAATGTAATTTAAACGAACATAAATATGAAGTAGTATATATTTGCTATTGTTGAGAATTGTCGTCGTCGTTGTTGTCTCTAAGTGGTGATGGTAGTAGTTGTGTTCGATCTGTAGCAACCGATCTACGTATAGGTCTATATGTATAAGCGTGTGACCGAGTGTGAGATTGTAAATTAATAACCACATACGCGTGTATAAAATGAGTTTTTTTTCTGTCGGTTTTTATGCAACTTACATTAACATAGAACAGAATGAAAAACTACAAAATTGTAGTTTCGAACATTAACCTCGAATGTACGATAATTAAATGATAGAAAAAGTCCGATACAATATGGGCATAAAAAAAAACGAAAATTATGATAATTATAGGTAAGCTTCTGCCTTTTTTTGTTGTAGATCAGTGTTTGGACTATAGGTGCTTTTATTTGATTTTGTATTGTGAATATTTACAATGATTGATCCGCGCTTCGCTAACGCTGGCGCCATTCCTCTTGTACCTGGATTTGGTGCACCCCAAGTGCCTATGCAATATCATCATCATCATCATCATCGCCATCATAAAAATAAAGGTCAAAATGATGCATCACCAGTAAGCCGTGATGAATCAATACATAAGGTAGATCATGGTCAACATCATTTTCTACAGAGTAAATATTACAGTTAAAATCTCGATTAAAAATAACAAGTGATTCATTTATAGATAATGATATACCTCTTGGTGGTGGTTATGGTGTTCCATATGGTATCACTGGCTTTGGTGCTGGTGGTCCAGCTGGTTTTCATCAACAACAACAATTTGGTGCTGGCAATATTGGATTTCCTAATCAATATCCAAGTGTTCCTTTTAGTCAAGGCCCCATAGGTGGTGGTCCTGTAGGTCACGGAGTAAAACAAAATCGACGACATCATCGACATCATCGTCATCATACTGCTGAAGTAGTAAATACTGTTGCTCCTGGTAATCAAGGAAAAGGGGCACCAGAGTAAGTTTGATTAGTATGTGATTTCTCAAAAGACCATTTTATTTAATGCATGTTTTTTTGTAATTATTGAAGACAATTAATTGGTCAACGTTCATCAAGTGCAGTCCACGATGAAAGACAACACATACGTTCACCCATACCATTAGTTGAAGGTGGAGTTGCCGGTGAACAAGGTGCTCCTCGTCGTCGTCATCGTCGTCATCATCGTCATCATCATGGTGAACATGGTATTTTTGTACATGCGCATCAATGGCGTCAAACTCAAGGTCACACTACAGTTGCTGCTGATGGTTATGGTCATATTAATGAGGATTTGATCTTCATCGAACGTGGTGATCATAGTCCACATCGACAAGAACCACCAGCTGGCTATGAATACAAAGGTAAAATTGAAGTTCAAGGCATTGATCGAGAAATTCGATCACAATCTCATGGTCGAAGCATGATTACTGCACCGCCTCTTCCAATATCTCAACCTATTCCACCAACTTCAAGCTTTGGTCCTTGTCCACCTGGATGGCAACAAGTAATTTTGACAGCTGCTCCTGGTGGACCAAATCCGCCTGGTACAGTATCATACACTGGACAAACGATAGGAACTGTGGGCGCAACTCAAACAGGAATAGGTGGTTTTGGTGCAGGTCAGTACAATATTTAGTCTTATTATTATTTTTTGCTCTTTTATTAATACTTCTTGATATCTATTCATTAGTTGGATCGTTTGGACTAGGTGGTTCTGTTGGTGGTTATGGTAGCGCAGGAACAGGTGTTCCTTTTTCATCTCAATGTCAATTAGTTGCCGATTATATTTTTTCACCAGGTAGTGCTGGTGTTAGTACATCAGGTGGAAGTGGATTTACAAGTGGATATAGAAAACATACTAGTACTGCTATTGTCGAACAATTGTAAGTTATGATTGATCGAGATTCTCTAGAGCATTACTTTTTACATTTAATATTTAGTCCAAGTGAACAAGTAATGGAACGTGTTTCTGGTCGTCCAACAATTATTGAAGTTTGGCAAAGACGATCGAAAGTAATAACTTTTGAATATTGTTTAATTTATTTTAAAAGAATTTTTATTTTCAAAGTCTGAAAAACGTGAAAAATCACGTTCAAGATCTCGATCTCGGTCTCGTCACCATTCGCGAACTTCAACGGCAGGTCCATTATTTGATTTCGAACGATTCCGTAGTGAAATTCTTTCAGCTATTGAGTAAAGTGTCTACATACAGATATAAACATATATGTGAACGTTTTCGTACTAATTTTTGTTTTTGTTTTCTTTTATAAAAATTTATAGACGTATTGTACCACGTGGAGTATCAGGACCTACTGAAATACAATGGACTGGACGTGATGGTGGTACACAAACTCAAATTCATCCAAGTACAGGAGGTGAAACTCGAATTGAACATGAAAGACGACAGGAAACAACCGGCGAAGTTCGAGTTATTGTACAACCAATTCAACCTGTCTTTTACATGCCTCGACAAAGTAAGAAGACAACTTTCATCATATTTCGTAATTCCTCTATTTTTTTTAATAGCTGGTGGCACAACAAAAGTAGAAGTTACGCCTCAAATTGGTCCTGCTCCTGTTGTTCAACAACCAACAACACCTAGTGCACCTAATGTTGTTTATGTTCCACGTAATGTTTACGTACCTGTTATTAAACCTGTTTTTGTTCCACGTGAACGTAAGTTATCCATTATTTGTTTTTTTTTTTTATTTATAAAAATAAAAATTATCATTTCGTTTCTTTTGTATTCTATAGGTGTCATCGTACGTCCTCAAGTAATACATGTTGCTCGACCTGTACTTGTTGATCGTCCAGTACCTGTTACACAACGACCAATCATCATAGATCGTGAACGACCTATTCCTGTACCAGTACGTGGTGGAGGTCAAGCAGCAGCACAAACTGGTGGTTCAAAAGTTGTTCGAGAAGAATATGTTTATCGAGATAATTTACCTGTTGCTTACGGTGGTCGTTGTCCTGAATTTGCTGGTGGTGTTAATTATGGTTATATGCCTACACAACAAGAACATCAATATGCATCTAGTTCAACTCATGAAGCATCGAATATTTATCAAAGACAAGCACCAATTATTAATGTAAATGTTCCAAATCAATTTCAACGTAGTCATTCGGCTTCTCAATTTGAAGGGCAACAAGGTATTTGTAAAACTTTTCATGGATCATATACGGATTTAGCTGGAACAACTGGCTCATATACCACTGGTATTAATAATGATTATTTAGCTGCACAACAAGGACAACCATATGCAGCTAGTTCAACACATGAACCTGGAAATATCTATCAAACAGAAGGTTCAATTGTTAATATAAATGTTCCAAATCAATTTCAACATAGTCAATCGGCTTCTCATCTTGAAATACAACAAGGTGGTCTTAGTGGTAGTAGTGGTCGTAGTTTTCATGGTTCATATTCGAATTTAGTTGGAGCAAATAATCCTGTAGGTGTTAATGTTGGTCAACATAATCAAGATATCCTTCGACAAACATTCGAACAAACAGCTCAATTTTCAGGTATACCTCCTCATGGTCCAACACAAATCGAAGTACTCGATGCAGCTGTTAATCCTTGTTGGCAAAAAACGGATCAATCAACATTAATGCGTCGTTATGGTCGTCCGGCATTTGAAATAGTTCATAAAAGCGAAGAAGTTGAACAACAAATGTACCATGAACTTCGTCAACGAGCAAGTACTAGTGGCATTGTAAGATCGACTTCAACAGCTAGTTATGGATCGGGTTCCGGTATAGGTGTTAGTGGTGGTGGTATTGCTCAATATTAAATATTTCTAATTGTGTTCGTGTTACTGTCATTTGAACGTTTTATCGTACATGTTATGTTTTGTTTATTAACATAGCATATAGACAACTATGTTTATTAATTGTCATTCATTCGTTTACTTAATTCTTTTCTTTTTAACTTGTCGCATACAAATTAGAAGAATCAATTTTCTTCTTTGTCATCGTTTTTATGTGTTTTTATTGTATTGTTTATTGTTCGTTTTAAAATATTTCTTTTTTCTTTTTCTTTCTAGAATACAATCGTTCATGCTATTTCTTTTTCTTTTTTTCCCCCTTCTTTTTCAAAATAAAAAGAAAAGATAATCAAGAATAAACTCATCTTCAACTATATGAATTAGTTGACAAATTTCATTACCATTATGAAAGCTAGATATTAATTTATTATTTGTTTGGATAATATTACAGGATAATCCATTATCAATAAATGTTTAATTGAAAAAAATACAAATAATGATTTTATTATCAAAATCATTGAATGATTTTTGTGAAAAATCATCTGAAAGAAGTGTTAACAGTATAGAGGATGGAAGCTCGCATTTTCTTCTCTCCGGACAAACTGTGACAGACTTTTTTGATACACAATTACAGAGCGTACATCAATAACGCCTCGTTACAATATAATAACTACTTCCTTATTGTATTTCTGGAGGGTTAAGTAAAAGGAAGACGAAGAAATCTATCCTGAGATAGACAGAATACAACAATCTTCGAACGATTACGATCAAGTTTCACATTTTAATCTTGCAGATATTATGTTAACAGCTTTTATTAATTTATAGTGTATTTACATGTACACTTTAACAATAAGATTTTCAAATAAATTTTCAATTGATTTATATTTATACAGTTTGTTTGATTAAGTAAGACTAACAAGGAAGGTCCTTCAACTAATAAATCACTTTTGAATCGAGACTATGTCCATTCTGCAGAAAGGAATAAGCTATGAAAATTTTGAAAAGGGTTCGTGCCTCTAGCTTATTTCTATGGAGATACTGCACTTTTACGATATTTTTTTATATATGTAAATGCCGTAGTACCTCTCAAAATTACTTGTAAAAATGATTTCCAAGTTTCAACTTCAAACGTTGCCTAGAAATAGGCCTAAAACAAGAGTAGTTTATTGTGAAAGTTTCAAGTCCTTTGATTTTGTTTCTATTCTGAAATGAAAATAAACAGATCTTCCGATTTATATGAACGACGTAAAAGACACACTATTATTATAATTGTATCTTAGGATCGAAAGAGCAACAAGATCAGAAATATTCTCTATAAAGTACGTTCGTTAAGGCATATCTTTACACAGAGTTTTAAGTCGAAATTCAAAAAACAATTTTTCTGTTATTACAGGATTCATTAAAAAAAGCACTACAAAAGTGCTGCAGTATCTCCGTAGAAAAAAACTAAGGGCATGCATTCTTTTTTGAATTGTCCATAGCTCACTCAAGTCCACATGATGCACATAGTCTCGACTCAATAGTGATTTCTCATTTGGAGGACTTCCTTCGTAAGATATGCATTTGTTTTCTGAGATCAGTACATTTCACTCATTTCTGATTGGCATTTGATAACATCGACGAAATCAGCTTGAAGGAAAAGTCTGATTATTTCATATCCTGTAGCCCTTTTTCTTCTTCTTTTTTTATAGATCAATTAAAAAAAACTTGATACTGATTCATATTACTGCATAAGTACACAACACCCACAGTTCCAGTGTGTGTTGGCGAAGAGAAAAAAGAGCAAAAAAATAATTAAAAAAAAAAACTTCCTGCTGTTTATCAAATTAAGAGGAAATTCCTGCGGTTAAGTTATTCATTCATTATCAATCAAACATAACTGCAGATCTTATAATGAAAATGAATGTAAGTCAAAATTCATTTAGTCCCTTATACAAAAAGAAAATACAACGTTTTATGTTATAATATATCAATTCAATAAATCTGATTAGTTGAGAGACGACATAGGATTTTCAAAAGATGATGAATGGTTTGTCTTTTTTTACGGAAATTGTCATAAGCAAATAATTATTTTCTTTCTCCTATCAGTTATGAAAGTAGAAGATGCTCGTTTGTGTATATTGTAAGAATATAAGATGCAGGCAATGTGTCTGTTGTATAGATAGTATACATTCAATTAATGGATCGATCACTGTAGAACGTCAGAAACAACATATTGAGATTTGAGATATGCACAGACAAACTCCCACGTTAAGTTGCTCAGAAAAATTCTTGACAGCAAACATAACTATTCAATATATCGATGACAGATTATTTGACACGTATTATATCAAATTTGACGAGACAGGTAGTTAAAGAAGAATATGTAAATTTAGTTTTTATAATTAGATAAATCATTAAAAGAGAGAAAAAACAGATTAAGTCATTTCGATTATAACAAAAACGGAATGTGACACTATTGATGAAGATAATAATAGTTATAAGAGTAAATCTAACATCTTCTCATACTTGATAAAATAAATATGTATATATAGATATATCAGATAGACCTTTCTTTTTCATATCAAAAGAATTACGGTAGTTCTTTGTTGACGATATCTTTGTATATATCTTATTTGTTCTCTTATGTTTGCCATTGTAAGATAATAAAAATATGTGTATGAGCAACTTTTTCAAATCGTCTAAAATTCAAAAAGGTTAAACTTATCAGATAGATTTAATGTTTATTTGAATCAAAGTTTAGAGTTCAACAAAGAATATATATATATATATATATCTTTATTTATTGAAATCTAGCATATCTCTTACACATTGTTATCTTTAGTATAAAGAAAAGCAGATACACAAAAAATGTATATACACAAGTCTAGATAAGGTCGTTCTTGAATGACAGATCTATATTCTTAGTAAAAAGAATACATTTTTTCTAGAAGTATCATCGATCATGAAACAAGTCAATAACAATCCTGGTTAAATCTACATAAGATAGATATATGTCGACAAATAAAAGTGATCAACAATATGTACCGATGGTTAGTACAAAAGATCGTCATCAATTAAAAACAAATAATATGTTAGTTTCAACAACAACATCAATAGTTGAAACAAAAAATAAAATTATAAAACAAGGTGAACGTGATAATTGGAGTAATCGTATTGTCTATCTTCTATCAATTATTGGTTTTGTTGTTGATCTCGGTATGCGTTTGTTTTTCTTAAGTTTTTAAGTATACGGAGAGATTTTTGAAATGAAAAAAACCTGTGACATCAGTTTAAAAAAAATGTCTAAAACGTAAGTATTTATGTATTCCATTGGAATAAATAAGTAATATTTTAATCGTGATATATAAACTTTGAGTGGATTGAAAATAGCTTTCTCTCTTTATTGTTGTAGATTCGAAAAAAATTCAATTTAAATATAGAAGATTATTGAACCAAAAATAAAACCAGTATTCTATTTCTACTTTTTATACTATTTCATTCTACATCATTGTATTAATGATATATAGGTGTACAAAAATAATCATCTAGTACAATATATTAAATTGAAAAATCTGCGGTTTTTTTTAAAATTAATCGTAATAAAGACAAAAACAAATACTAGATTTTTCAGCGAGTTCAAAATCGTGTTGCTTGTGTTCAAAATATTTAATAGGAATTTGAATTTCTACTTCTTCATAGGCAATGTATGGCGTTTTCCAACAACATGTTACCGAAATGGTGGTGGCGCTTTTCTTATTCCTTATTTTACTTTCTTATGTCTTGTGGGCCTTCCTTGTAAGTTAATTCTTTTTAGTAAATTTTTGAAATTCTTCGTTCGTGCTTCTAAAAACAGGTATGTATTTGGAATTGGCTATTGGACAATATCATCGTCTCGGTTACATAACAATATGGAATAAAATATGTCCGCCATTAAAAGGTATTGGCTATTCAATGTTAATTATTAATTTATATGTTTTATCATATTACAATACAATTATTGCATGGTCAGTTCATTATGGTATAGCATCATTTCGTGCTATTGTACCATGGACATTTTGTAATAATGAATGGAATACACCATTATGTTATTCCTTACATGATAAACGTACATTGATTGTTTCACATAACGCATCATGTTCATCAGCAGATGAATATTTTGAACGACGTATGCTTAAATCTCATCTATCACCGAGTATTAATCAACTAGGTTCATTACAATGGGAATTAGTTGGTTGCTCAATGATCGTTTTTCTTCTTATTTACTTATCAATTTTTAAAGGTGTTAAGACAGCTGGTAAAGCAATATGGTTTACAGCATTAATACCTTATGCAGTTTTAATTATCTTATTATTACGTTCATTAACACTTGATGGAATATTTGAGGGTTTAAAATATTATGTAGCACCATCATTTGAACGTTTAAATGAATATTCAGTATGGCAAGCGGCTGCTGTACAAATATTCTTTAGTTTAGGACCTGGTTTTGGTGTTCTACTTAGTTATGCAAGTTTTAGTGACATACATGACAATGTATCTGGTACAGCTTTAATAGCTAGTTTAGTTAATTGTTGTACTAGTTTATTATATGGTACAGTTGTTTTTGCTGGTTTGGGCTATTTATCATATCGATTACATACTGATGTACGACAATTTACTGAAAGTAATATGGGTCTTGTTTTTGTTGTTTATCCAGAAATTTTAACATCAATACGTGGTGCACCATTTTTTTCTATCCTTTTTTTTATAATGCTTCTAACATTAGGACTTGATAGTGTATTTGCTGGTGCCGAAAGTGTTTATACAGCAATATCTGATGAATTTCCAATATTAGCTCGTCGTCCACGTTTATCACGTGCATGTGTTGTATTAGTCCCATTTTTAGTATCAATACCAACATTAACATATGGTGGAAAATATGTTGTTCATTTTATGGATTTTTTCGGTACATCACCATCAATAATGTTTATTGTTTTATGTGAACTTATTGCAACTGTATGGTTATATGGAATGGATAGATTTAGTAATAATGTTAAAATGATGACTGGGCGCAAACCAAATATTTATTGGCGTGTCACATGTCGTTATATAGCACCATTAATACTTCTTATTCTTTATATTTGTTCATTTATTCAGTTTGATAGTCAAGAATTTTCTTCATTTGGTAAAGGAAATACAGCATTAAAAGTAAGTATTGCAGGATGGACTCTTAGTTCAATATCAACATTACCTATACCAATTTATGCATGTTGGTGGTTATTATTTCGACGTCAGAAAAATGTTACTAAACAAACAACAACCAATGTTGTTACAGAATCAATACCAACAAACAGACTTAATGAACAAGAAGCATTTATATAAAGAACAGTAGTGTTTGGTTTTTTTTCTTTTTTTTTGTTGTGGAATTTTATAATCTTATAGAATTACAAAGAACAGCTTGTATGATGATTTATTTTATTAGATAATAGATACATATTTTTTTTCTTGTAATACGTGTGGATATATTAAAGAAAACAAAAAAAGTGCTTGTGTAAAAAATAATGGTAATTATTGATTACATGCAAAGGTTTTTATTAATTATCATAGAGAATAAGAATTTCTAACTCTCTTGTATTGACCATGTTATTAAATTCTTCTGGTATTTGACCAAGACTTTCAAAAGCAACTGATTCGCGAAGTTGTGTGTCGAGTTGATCGAAGACAACATTGGTCATGCCAAAGCATTCAAAATTAGCCCTATAATTTAACAAAAAAGTAATTTAATGTTTATATTGCCTTTAAAATAAGTAAATTATCTTCAACTTTGAATATCCATGGAAAAATTTGTGAATAAAACTGCTGTTTTCTTTCCAATTAACGTGGTTTTCTCATGGGATGCCATGGTTAGTGGCAGTTTCACATATCGCCGGTATACTTGGCTGTAATCGCGGCATCGCCGCACACCTCAGTTTTTACAGGTCACACATAGAATGGTAAAGTTATTCTTGGAAACCATCCATTATCATTAGTTACTAGAAAGAAAAGATTTTGAATGAAATCGCTATATACCAGCTTCAGCATTGACGAGAAAAAGCATACTTTCTTGTGATGAAAGTGAATGCTATGTGCAGTACTGTTATTACGCATGTTGTCTTTTAGATAGATGGCATTTTAAGGTATATGCGAAGACAAAGAAAATATTGTGCTTTACTATTCATAAAATATTGCCTAACAATACCTCAAGCAGAGCCAGGTGACTCATCAGTAATCTGACTATCAGTGTATTGCACAGCTATTCAAACGACAACATCCTAGGAATTTAATTAACGCTCAGAAAAGACAGATCATCCTCAATAACCTCTTCTAATTCAGAATACTCACAAAAGAACTATGGTGATCGGCCGTAACTCACCACATCATAGAAGAATCATGGTTTCAAGCATTGCAGAAAAGTCGAATGAAGTGTCTCATAATACCTCATTTTATTACTTCTACAAAACAATATTTGCAAGGAACAATGGATAATTTTATTTGAAAACCTTAAGTGAGCTTTTTTATTCCAAAATCTTTATTAGTAAGAATGAAATACAGTTTTCTAAGTTATCCTACATACTGTGCATATGACCAATTGTAATTAAAAATAATCTTCAACAAGTGAATAATATAAATAATTGTCAAGAAAAAGATGATGAACAAAATACAAGTAACTATCAGCAGAAATGTCTCAACATCTATAGACATCTATGGTTCGTAGATGGCACGGGTGTTTGTTTGAGTCGTAGAATAGAAAAAAACTCAAATGTTGAAATCAAATGCGTCAATGCACACCATACAGAGGGAACTCGAGTTATATTTATTTTCTGAAGAGAAAAAGCATGACGTGGCAACAAAAATTAATGTGCACACGTCAAATAAATATCATCTACCGAGGAACATTGCGGAAGAAAAAAAATGTTGCCACAAGAATAGGTAAAAATAAAAGTCGTGTGGTTGCTTTCTGGTGGTGATTTTTGTCAAATAAATCCTTTAAAAAAAGACAACCTTTGTGCATTCGCTGTAGGCCCATGTATATAATCTTACGACATAGCCTTATGTAGAAGGCGCGAAAACATGAGTTTTTTCAAAGCTGTTGAATTCGTTAAACTATAATAACTCTCTTCAATAGAAAAAAGATTATTTTCGAGACTAACAGGTGATGTTGTTATTTCATTAAAATTATCAGTAGTAATATCTTGATCGACATTGACGATATTCCTATTTAATACAACATTTGCTGCTGCTTGTTCATGTTGATTTAAATCTAAATCTAAAGATATTGTTGATATATATTTAGATTTCTTAATAATCAGTGAACCTCATGTTTGAATTCGTTAAGGTCTTTTCATACTGTATTGTTTTGCATATAAATTTCATCATCTGAATTTGGTGCATGGTCATGTATTATATGTTTGAAAGTGGAAACAGAATTTTTCAGTTAAACAATAGTATATTTCTCCTTAACTTAAAAAATAATTGTGCAAAGTGGTAAAGTTGCTGATTGATGTGAGAGGATGACAGCCATAGTTTTCAGTCTTCTGATAAGAATATATGTAAATTAAAAGTGTATATCAATATGTGAAGCTTTACACAAGCAATATTAGTAGTAATTGACAATAAACATGTTTGCAAACTCATTAAATTCACTAGTTGTGATATCTGTGAAAACAAAGGTAACGACACGTAGTGCAAGTGAAATGTTAAAGATATAAACGCTACATAGACCTGAATACAGAGTAAGATGGTAATAAACTCTATTTTGTTTTTATTTTCTGTCTATAGATCGTACTTGACCGTGTATTGACTTGTAGTGTAGATAATTTTTTTACTATATAAACAAACCACATATAAATGAATTACACTGAGTGAGACGAAAAATAAAGTTTTCAATTTTTTTCCACAAGATGCGCATTAAATTCTTTAAAAGAACTATATTACAAGACCTGGTCTGCTAGCTCTGAGGTACAAGTCATAGAAAGTAGTGCCACTTTCAAGGTATTGTATTCTAGAGTTGACAGCTCTGCACATGTTTCTTTCGACTTGTCCTCATGGATTTTTAGAAAACTAAAATAAAAAGTTTTATGAAATATTGCTATGTCTCATGAGGTTCGAAATTAAAATAAATGTTATATTTTGCATATATTTCTGTACAGACAAATCATAAAAACTTGAATTTTTATTGAAATACAATAAAAAATGTTGAAGACGCTCTAATTTCTCACTCATCAAAATTCTTTTTTGTTCTGTATCTAAATTATAATCGCATTTGGCATACTTATAATTCTTTTTGGCGATTATGAAAAATCAAGAGAATCCCATTGTTCGTATTACGCTATTGAGCAATGAATTTTTGTATAGTGAACTTGATTTAGATGGTAAAATTATGTTTTCTGGAGCGTCTGCATCATCGTAAGAGTGAGAAATTAGAGTATCTTATATATCTTTCAATTTAGTTCATTCTAAATACATTATCATGAGTCAAGAAAATCTTTTACTTTAACTATTGTAAAAAAATTTCACGGCGCATCTTTACAGAAAAATTTCAAGTTTTTCTGATTTGTCTGTGTAGAGATATTTGCAAAATATCTGATGTTGCAATCATTTTGCCTTACACAATAGAACTATTAACAGTGTTTTGTTCTTGGAACTTTTACGCGATCTTCAGTGAGTAGATACATGTCTAGAATAGTCTAAGTAGAGTCAATACTAGTATAAATCAATCAAGACATCAATACATGTATGCAGATATCTCTAAATAGAAAATTTTGATCCGATGAGGACAAATGCCTAGAAGAAGTGGTAAATTGAGCGTAATTGTATAATGCAATACATATGATAATCTGCTTGTTTATCGTTTCATTATGTGTAAAAAATTATTCATAAAAAATCACTTCTGTATATTGAGTCATTTCTGTTTTGCGATGTATATAATACATGAAACTTAAGGCTAAAGTGTGTCTGCAAAGAAATGTCTCTATCATATTTTCTTCAGTGATTGATTAGATATTGATTGATGAAGAACATTCTTATCAGAAGAAAATGTTAGTTAAAACGTAAAATCTACATACAATCATAGGCCTAAGATTCAATAGAGTCCTAGTATTCATAATCAGCGAAATGCACTACATACAGTCATGCTCATTGCAATGAAAATAAACGTTGGATCAGTTGGAGAAATTTTCTTACTAGCTACATATGTGAACATTTCTTGAAATTTACTTTTGAATATTAATTCGTATAGACGCAAAGTATATTGTACTTTTGTATAACAATGATTTTAATTACGATCTCTTCTTGATTAAGAGTTCAAGTCTAAATCCAAAATGAAATAATATCCATTCACAAAGGAATATTATATTTAATGAGACGTATTATTTAAAATTAAATGATGATAGATCCATCTGCATCGATGTCTTCTTGGTTCATCGACATATTTTTTCTCAACAATTTCAGAATTTTACTGAACAAAGCATGTTTTAAAGAGAAAAAGGTAAACTAAACACTAGTGATACTATCCGACATTTTTAAAACGAACTTTATCACCTGTAGAAAGGCCAGAAAAAGCTATTTCGATTAGCGATTGAGGATGTAGATTTTGGGATTCTCTACTCTTACATCTATATACACACGTCCGGCATGAACAGCTGGTACCATCGACTTAATCAAAGTACTGCAACACCCAATCCAAACTTATATCTAATAATTAATGGATTAAAAGATAACGCTCTTAAATTAAAAAAAAACTATTTTTCGAAATCAACGAATTCTCGATTTATTGAAATGATATGAACAAAGTTCTTTGTCATTCGATGAATATTTTAATCAGATTAGCAAATAAAGCAGAATAATTAATTAATTAGTCTTAATTCTTCGATGAAGCAGAACCAAAACATCTGCACTCATCATCAAGTTATCATATAAAAAATCCAGAATTATTTTTATATATTTCATTGATTAATAGTAAGAAAACTAAAGTGAATATACTGAAATTCGAGTACCCTACTACACCAGTATTTTACAAGGACCTTATGGTACTGTATAAGTTTTTAGCACTTGGCTACAAGTTGCTTTCAAATGTTCAACCTACGAACTTCTTAAACAATTTTTCATACAATCGTATGAAAACTGAGCAGATACCCATGTACTGAGACAATCCTAAGTTGCGTATTCATTCAAGGTTCTGTGACATGCTGATGGCAAAGTACCCAAAAAGTACATAACTGACAACTGATTCATTACATGAGTACCTTGAAATCAGTACATTCACTAGGGAAAACAAAAGCTTTGATTTCATCTGAACAAAACAATACTCATTTTGCATCTAAATATTGTCAAATAGTAAGCACCGGTATTTTATTACTCACTCTTAATATGTATAATTACAAAGAGAAAAAAAAAACTTATAGTTCATTAAATATCATCGAAGAGTAAATATCGTTGAAGAAAATTTGCTAAATCTAATTTTGTTACAGCTCGATCAATACGTATTTTCATTGATGAATTAAATAAATGTGTTCGAATTTGTTTACGTAAAATATTTTTTAATGAACATGGTGTTATTGCTCGTTGATATATTTCTAATTTTGTTTTTTGATCAAGTTCCGTACATTCAGCAATATAACTTGGATGAAATGAATAAGCTGCATCACAAAGTAATTCAATTAAATATAGATTTGATTGAAAACGACGTAAAAATCGTAGAACACTATCTAAAAATAAAGAAATTATTTTCATATATGACGATAAATAACAAAACCTCGTCCTCTTGAAAATGAAACTCGAGCTCCATAACCGATCAATAAACGAATTATACGCATATCCAAATGTTGATCACGAGCATGTTTGATATAAGCTACTAATGGTGTTCGATATGGAACATGTTGACGATGATGATGTAGATTATAGGAAACTGATTGATTAGGATCAGCATCGTTTTCTAAAAGACATTTTATAATAGAATATTGATTTTTTAAATTTGATAATTGACAAGCAAGAATTAATGGTGTTATACACTCAACATCTTCATTTGTTTCTTCATTTGTATTTGAACCAAAAGCTAAAATCAATTCATTATATATGTATTATATTTTATTATCAATTTACATACCAATTAATAATTTTACTGTATCAATATGATCTTTTCGAATAGCCATTTCCAAAGGTGAATTACTTAAATCAGGATGTCTATTAACAAAAGCTCCATAAATTAATAATTGTTCAATAATATCACATCGTTTTGTTTCAATAGCTATAACAAGTGCATTTCTTTGTCGAAATTTTCTTGTTACATAATTAACATTAGCTCCATAACGACATAATAATATTACAGCACCAAGATTTCCTTCTCGACATGCTTTTATTAATGGTGTTATACCACTACGTGAAAGAGCATTTGGATTAGCACCATGTTTAAGAATTAATTCTAATGAAGGAAGATTTTCATATGGTAATAAATTTATTTCATAACCAAGAAAGTATTGTTGATTAACATTAGCACCAGAACAAAGAAGTAAACGTGCACATTCAATATGATTATTTTCTAAACATAGACTTAATGGTTCTGTCATAACATCATAATAAGGAGCTATTATTGAACGTGTTTGAGACTCATTTACTGCTACATGAAAATTAATAAGAGAACCATGATCAATTAAGATATGCATGATATCAATAAAACCATATTTTGCGGCTAAATGTAAAGGTGAATAACCAGCTTCATCTAAAATATTAACATCTGCACCATAATCTTCAATAAGAAGACGAACACATTCAAAATCATTCTCGAAAACAGCATAATGCAATGGTCTAAGACCACGACGAACAGCTCCATTAATATTTAATTGTTCACAACTGAAATATGATGATAGAAAATATGTTTAGAAAAAAAAACAAAGTACCTAAGAATGAATTTAATATCTTTAAGTGGTGAATGTTGTACAATAGCATCTCGAAGAAGTAATAAGAGTGAGTCTCCATCAATAGTATTATCAATGGACATGTTGTTTTCTTGCTTTAAAATGTCGTCGTTATTATGCGTCATTCAGTCGTTTTTCTGATTCTTATTATTTATGCATCCATATTGCAATCTTGCTCTTTGGCTCTGTATTTTTTTCTTCTTTTCTATCATTTCAGTATTATCTGCTGGTTCCTCGTCGAGATTCTCGTCTGTTGTATATCCAGAAAAAAGCCTACCATCAATAGTATATACAACAACAAATGCACCCAATAATAGATAATTTAGGTTTCAGCCTCGTGACAAATGACAAGAAAAAAAGAAATGCGTATATTCTGATACACATGTTAACCTTTAATCATCGTTTTTTTCTTGTCGTAATATTATTTTACAATTAAATTAAATATATTGTTAAGACTACTAAATAATTAACCGAGTTCACATTCATTATATATATGTATATGTATCACTAAGAGACGGATAAAGTATCTAGACAAGTATTATCATCAGTCAAGTGAACGAATAAATGTGTATGTACATAAGGGATAAGTATTGTATGACCGACACATACATACATTGTAATGAGAAAAGAATTATGCCGGTCAGCACGACCTCCTTATGTAGATATAGACAATGTACACTACATTTGAACAAATAATAATATCGGTCATAACCGAGAAAGTAATGCCCCATAACCTTTCATTCTTTCAAAAAAAACTGAATAGAAAAGTTAAATTGACCTTATTTCTCTCTTCTATTGAGAAAAAGATGGCCATCAACTCATGTTCTCGGTCATCCATTCGATAATTCCTCTTTCTCGTTCTGTACTTCAATTTGATCATGAACACGTAAAGTAAGAAGAAGAACAAATCTATATACATAAGGTCAAATGTTCGATGAAAGTATTGTGTATGCAGATGTTCATAAGAAAGAAAATAAGTACATGTAACGGTCAAGAAGAAAAGGGTCACATTGACCTAACTCAATGTTGACCGCAGACATGTTCATACTTTGACCTAAAAAATATAAAAGACAGTGAATGAATTAGGGCAACAAGAGAGAAAAAAAGAGAGAGAAAATCTATTTAAAGAAAAAGAAAGGTCAGTTTCGTGTTTGAGTTCAACGCGAACAGACATTCATTATTGTTATTCGACAAAAAACAATGACAACTAGCATTCAAGTTCGTTTCTTTTTTTTTTTAACATTCTGAAAAACTAAATCATATATTCTATAATCATAACAGAAAATGCAATCAAATGATTTTCTTCGTTCATCAACAACTCCATTCATAGAATCTCCTCATTTATTTACTAATAATTTACAATCTCAACTTAGTATGCTCTATGCACTTACACAACAACAAATATCATCATCATCATCATCATTATTATCTCCTTCTGATTCAAAAATAAAACGTGTGAAGTATGTTATTCATTATTGAATCCATAGTTCATTGCTTTTTTTTTGTCTATCAAGAAAATCAATGCCATTACCAAATGAACCCCCAACTCAAGTACCATTAATATCTGCAACAGATTCGTCATGTTTAAATTCAACAAATGATCGTGATATTGTAAAAGTTGTAACAACAGCTGGACCACAATGTGTTGATAAAGAATTTCTTAATCAATTATTAACACGAAAAAATTTCATACCAGCACGAAAACGTCGTGATTTTATACCAAATGAAATGAAAGATGATCATTATTGGGAAAGAAGACGAAAAAATAATTTAGCTGCAAAACGTTCACGAGAAAAAAGACGTTTAAATGATATTGTACTTGGTAAGAACATTTCAAATTTATTCTTCTTTTAATTTACTTTTATTTCAATTTTTTTGTAGAAACTAAAGTTGTTGAATTAACAAATGAAAATGAAGCATTAAAAGCTAAACTTAATCTTATGCTATCACGTTTAAATATGAAAGAAACTGAAATGGAAAATTTATTTGAAGAAGAACAACGTCTTGGTCATATATGTCTTAAGCCAGCTACATCAGCATCAACAATTCTTGCTCAACATAATGATGATGATGATGAACATTCATTACAATTAGCAACATCAAAAGATTCATCATCATCTGAAACACATGATGATGATGAATCACATACATGTATACAACATCCAATACTTTATAATCAATTAATTGGCAATACAAATGATAGTGCAATTGATTTAAGTCGAACAGAAATTAAAACAGGTAATCTATTAACAACAATACCAAGTAAAAGTCCATCACCATTGACACCATCACCATCACCACCAAATGAATCTTTATTACAAATTCTTGCTAATCAAATGCTTAAGAGCAAACAACAATACCAAGACACGTCAACATCATCACGTTTATTAACAATAGCATCACCAGTTGAAACAAAACCAACAATATCAACATTAAAAAGAAATTTTAATCAAACACAACAAGATGATGAACAACAACATAAATGGAATGAAGCAGCAATGACATTACTTTCATTAAATAAACCACCAGCACGTATTGAACCACAAATTACATTTCAATCTGTTATTAATGATATTTTACGTAAACCAAATCCTCCTAAAGCTACAATTGATTATCATAGTAATCATAATTCACAACAAATACAAGGTGAAAACTTTCATCAGCATACTTCATTTAATCAATGGAAAACATTAATGAATTATTTTTCAATGCCACCAACGCAACAACAGCAACAACAACAATCAACAAATTTTAATACAAATATCGCTCATTCACAACAGCATGAACCTCGAGGTGATATGATGCCGCTAAAATTACGTATGAAAATGTTGAATGCAAAAAGTTAACAAGAAAAACAAACACGAACGGTTAGGACAAAACTTGTAACAGTGAAACGAACAGTGTTCGTCTATATATAAATTTAAAATAACAAATTTCTTATATGAAAAAATGACAGATAGATGGTGGCGAGGTGTGAGCAGCGACAAACTCCAAATTAGGAGATAGTTGTATAAAGAGAAGGCGTATTAGACAGTGTGCGATTATAAGAACGCAGGCGAGATTCTTCATTACAGTTCAATGCTCATCACGACGACCTCCACAAATTATATTACTTAGCTATTCAACATTAATAGAGCCAAGAAATTGTATATTATATCAAGAAAAAAAAAGTGTTTAAATTGTTCATATTGCATGTTTTTGTTGTGTATTGTTGTCTTTTTTTATTATTATTCTTATCTTATAATACATCGAATATTTTACTCCGAATGTTATTAAACATTTTGTTTTATATGTCAACTTTCATTTTGTTTGTTTTAACAATAAATAATTAAACAATATTGAAAAATATTTGTTTTCAAGTTAATTTTGTATATAAACTATTGTCAAAAAAAGTTATTTTTGAGCAAAAGAAATTGTCGTAAAATTTATTATGATTATCAATTAGAATTATTATATGACAAAAGTAAAAGTACATATTTTAACCTTTACAAATTGTCATTAACATTGAACTGAACCATGAAGGTCATCTACGTATTTATATGAAAGGGACAAGGAAAATTGCTTTTTTTTCGATTCATATTGAATGCACTTAAATTGTCATTTGAATGACAAGGCATTGCATAAAATTTTTCTTCTCTTATCTCCGTACAGAGAGGTGATCGATGTTAATAACTCATACGAAATGACAGTCGATCGACGTTAGTAATTTCTCGGTTTTTCTTTTTAATGAATACGAGTAAAAGCAATCTTCAATATTCATCTGTTCATTCAACCCTATCATTCATTCATTCATTTTGAACAAATATTCATTGCTCCTATTCGTTCAATATCGTTTAATACGAAAGACAAAAAAAAACATAGAAGAGGATTATTTGTTGATAGGACATATTTCTACGGTCAACTATGTTCTCGAATCCTGTTTATAATCTCCCACCACAATTCAATGAAAATTTATTATCACAAAATTTAGCCGGTCTTTCATTAAATAGTGCTCCAACTCAACAACAACAACAAATACCAATTGATATCGGCGGTTATATTCCACCATCATTCAATGATGCAGATATTAAATGGCCATCAACAGAAGATTTTGATATTTCATATAATCGTGGATCTACTGTTGTACGTCAATATAATAATTCAATGATTGATGATTATTATAAAAAATTTCTTCGTCCAATAACGGATTACATTGCTATACCAACAAATGGTCAACCAACTTATGTTTATCAAAATTTAGGTGGACCACCGAATTCTACTTCTTTAGGACTCACTCAACAACCTTATGTTGGTGGTACATATAAACAAAATAAGATCTTTTTTTTAGATTTTTAAGAGATTTATAACTTTATTTTGTAGTTGAAGTAGCGAATGATCTACAAGCAACAGTACCTACTGCTACTAGTTCAAATTTGGCAGGAAATGAAACTGAAGATAAAAAACATAAGAAAAAACATAAAAAACGATCATCAAAACATGCTAATAGTGATAGTAATAAAACTAGCGATAATGAAAAAGCAAATGACGAATCGTATGATATATATATATATATTTTTTTTTTTTTATCTTAATTTTCATTACAATCATCTAATTTTTATAGAAAGAAAAGAACAACAGATTTGGATGATTATCATAAAGTATCTTCTGTTCCAGTCACTAGTGGAAATCAACAAAAACAAGTCGTTGTACCAGCTGTTTTAAAAAACACGTAAGTAGAAAAATTATTAAATAGAACAAAAGATAAAATTTTCTCTATTTTTTGACTAGAGGTGCAGTTGGTCCACAAGTACCAATGAGATTTCCATCAAATCCACTTGTCTATTTTGATATTGATATTGATAATGAACGACGTGGCCGTCTTCTTATGGAACTCTTTCGTCATGTATTACCACGTACAGCACAAAATTTTCTTTCATTGGCATTAAATGAACATGGTTTTGGTTATCGTTTATCATATTTTCATCGAATCATTCCAGGTTTTATGGCTCAAGCTGGTGATTTCGAAAAATCGAATGGCACAGGTGGTTATTCAATATATGGAGAAAAATTTGATGATGAAGGTTTTCCATATTCACATGATCGTGCTGGTCTTTTATCAATGGCAAATAGTGGACCAAATACAAATGGAAGTCAATTTTTTGTTACATTTGCACCATGTCCACATTTAGATAATAAACATGTAGTATTTGGACAAGTTATACAAGGTTTTCATTTACTTCAAGATCTTGATATGAGTGGATCAGAGAGTGGTGAAGTATTACGTGAAGTTAAGATTGCTGCTACTGGTCAACTTCAATAATTCAAAACAAAATAATTATTTTAAAGAATTCAAAATAAAAATAAACAAACACATAATTTGATAATAAAAAATTTTTAACTAAACGTAAACAAACAAATATTATTTCTGTATAAATTTACAATTTTCGTAGTTAGGAATAATAAATAACGGATAATGTTTTATGATATTTATGATTTAATAGATAATATATTGTGAATTGAGCACTGCATGTAGGGAAAAAAAGAAAACCTTGATATTTTAAATATGATAATAAACATTTCTAAACGAAATTTTAATGAAAAAAGATTTCAAGCAGGATCAATATCTAAACTTATTTATATCTACGGATGTTTCGATCTTAAAGAGGATGAATGCCACAAGTAGAGTCTTGTAAAAGGAAGTTTCTCATGTCTCAAAGCCCTCTATAAACAGTGATTTGTCCCGTTAAACAAAAGAAATACAAAGTTTTGAGATGTACCCATTCCTAGAACGTGATGTAAATGCTGACATTTTTTCTTCATTAGGAATATAGTTCCCATGGATTGTTTATATCTACTATGATCAGCTTTTTTGCTCTATTCGGAGTTGTAGTCGATGTTCATGAAAAACAAAACAAAGGCTTCGAAGTCGGTCTAAAATCCACATTTTCTTTGTTTCTTTCGACTAATTCGAACTGATTTCGAGATCAATATTTTACATAGGACTAAATCTAAGAATGGTTTTGGAAAAAGAGTTCAAACTAATCATAAATAGCACGAAGAATGACTAGGAGTCTGGCAGTTCTTAATACGGGACAGATATTTTTGTAATCATGAATAAGCCAATGTCTTAAATCTCTAATCGTGGTTTAGAATATTTCCAGTATAGAGAATTGCTGAGCTCCTAGCCTTGAATCATGCTAAATGTGATCAGTTTTGAATGTTTCTTCCAAATATATTCTTAGGTTTTGTCTAATGTGAAATATAAATCTCAAAACCAGTCGAAATCAGTCGAAAAAGGAAAACTTAAAAATTTCGATTCTCCACCAATTCAGAAACCTTTGCTTTTTATTTTATGAATTTCGACTATACCATTAAATAAAGATCATTGAGATTATGTTCTAGGAATTGATGCATTTCCAATAAAGTTCTTGTTTTGTTAAAAAAGAATACGACTTTTCTACATTAACAGGAGAAAAAGAAAAAGGTATTTATATAGATATTTATCAGACAATTGGCTATTTTTCGATATATACTATTAAAAACATAATATTGATCGACAAACACGTCTAAATATCCATTAAATTGTTAATTTGATATTCACCAAACGAAACATCCGAACATTCAAGGAAATGTAACCACTTTTTTGGTCAAAGTGTGAGAGAAAAAAAAATATAACTGCCATTCAAATACATCCTCGTGCACAATCAACCACTGTTTATTATGAATACTACACTAATTAAATCAAATGATGTGTCTACCCTTAAGTAAGCCTACAACAACTCTTGTAAAAAAATGATAATGAATAGCTTTCAAGACATTTTACAATATCTTTGTTTTGTGCTTTATTTCTCTATTATTTATTGAAATCAGTGCTTCTTGCAACGTGAAGGTCGGAGGAAGTGATGTCTCTCTGAAGACAAAATCAATTGTCTACGACTTTGTGGTTATTGTACCTTATACTATATGTTGATATCTCCAGAAATATGTATTCGCCTCTCTAAAGTCTTGAATCAATTCTTCGAATCAGAAAATATGGATAAAACATTGATTTAAATGCGAAACTATTTGTTAGAAATAAGAAATTCAAAGTTTACAACACATTCTGATATGGAAATTTCAATAAATCGGGACATCGATTTTTTGACACAGTAAATAATCTCTATAGAGCGTGTGCATATCAATATTTGTCCTCTCAAAATTTATTTTTTCCCCTAGGAAATATTAGTTTCTACTACTCAAAATGAATGCCTGATACAAAAAATGTCTGGAGAAGAATTTTTGATTCAAAAAAAAGTCTTGCAAAGGACCTTCTCGTTCTTCTAAAATTTTGTCAAAAACTTCTACCTGAAAAACTAACAAACTATTCACCAATTAATTCAGTTTTGTGGTACTGATTCCGAATATGTTATTTGTTTTTTAAGACTATATTTTTCTAACCAGTGAAGACTCGCTTCTACCATAATAAACGCTCAATGGAACTTTGGGAAATCAATATTTGAGTTCAGAAACGTTTATGTTAATCGTGGTGACATCTCGCATATTGAAGAATATCCTGGAAGTATTTCATATTAGAGTATGAAATGGACGTTCACTTTATAACATTTAAACTGCATCAAATAGCCCCTTTGTTCGAAGTGCATATAGTAGTATTTGAATCTTGCGACAGTACATTTTCGATTTTTCATGCAATTTCCCCTGTGGTCTAACCATAAGCGTAGAGAGGATAGATATGTATTTAAGACGTCAATCAGTACAATAATTTTTGTTACTTTTCTCACATGGACAAGAATAATCGTTTCATGAACGTTTGAATACATTTTTTAGTCATGGACCATCAAACTGAACTGATTAATTCTTTTTTTCTTTTTAAATAGTTAAACTTTTTCATGTAAGCAATTCAGCCAGTCAAACAATTCAAATGTTGACTGCCATTTATTTGAGATCAAACTTCAATGAAAAGAAACACTGAAAGATAATCTGCTTTTCTCTATACATATGGTCTTTCAAGAACAAATAAATTAAGAGCATATTTCCAAAAACTTTAGAAATCAACTAAGTATGTAATCAATTAATTCTTCAAGATGTTGTTTTGTCTTGATAGATCATAATGGAAATCTTGAAGATGAACAATGTTATCTAATTGAGTTATCATCTTACTCAAAAAACTTAATAAGCATTAACGAGCATGAAAAAAAAACGATAGTTTTTATTCATTTGATTATTATTGTGGAAGAAAAATAAATCGTTTTTATTGAAACATAATTCAATCAAATATTTAATTACCTATCAAAATATTTCTTTTAAGTTCTACTTATTTAAACATTTATATATGAATATGCAAATCTACTAACAGAAATATAAATCTTGCTTGTTCTTTTAACATGGAATAATCATTTCAATTACATAATTCTTTTTTTTTGTTGACGACGATTTCTATTTTAATATTGATTCAAAAGTTGACAGCTGTCTATCAAGTTCATTAATCCTTCTTCTCAATGCATTAGCTGCATCTAAAAAACTACGTAATCAATTGTATGTTGTTTTAAACCATCGAGACATGTTCGATCAATAGACAAACCTTATAATCTCATATTGTATCCGTCTAAACAACTTAATGAATTGAAGTCTTGCCGACAACAACAACAATTTAATTTCTCTTATTGAAAATTGCTTGATGACGCCAACTAGACAAAATAACAATACTTCTATTTTAAGTATTCCGATAGTTATTTCTTTTTCCTTGTCGGAATACTCATGAGATCTTCTTGTTATTTTTTCTCGTAAAAATTAAATAACAACAAGATAATAAGCATGCCAAGTGTAACAAATGTCAGCAACATCCTTTCTTTTGTAAATATTCGAACGAAGAAATAATATACTAGAATAAATTTCCAGTTACAAGATGTAGAATTTAATTCTCTACCAAATCTTATTAGCTTAATTGAAAACGATGGAACAAATCATGAGTTTATAGGCTACGTTATGTGTTTCAGTGAACGACATCTATTTCCTCTAAAATTTTTAGTACTATACTATTTTCAGGGAGGACATTATACTATTTTCAAAACATAATTTACTCTTAGACAACAACTCGAGAAACACTGTCGCTTACGTATTCATTTGATCAAGCAGTAAACTATATTTAGAGAAAATTGATTTGTCTGCTTACGCAATGCTGAGATAATGCTGTATAAAACAAATTAGCTTAAAAAAAATTCGATACCATATAAAAAGGAAAATAACATTGTCTATTGTTATATACGTTCAGATAGATAATTTTTGTTACGTAAATCTAGTTTCTTATCAAACACTTATACTTAATACTAAAACTGCATTAAATTTAAAATTTGATTATAGTATACCAAAGCTCTGAGGTATTTGTTTAGAGCTGAAAATGATCCTGAGAAGTAATTTGTATATAAAATAGATACCATTCGCAGAAATATTTACTACATTTCATAAATTGTATTTTACAGTTTTATATTAGATTATTTTCAAAAACTCGAATAGGCATGTGTTGAGATTTGAGTTTCTATATGTTGTAATAAGAAATTTACGATGATGTATTAACTTCTTTGTTTTTGATCGAATATTTACAAGAAACATTCATATCTATTCATCCGGGTGCATATATATAGAATAAAAAATACAAAACAAGGAAAAAAGATTAAAAAAAAACAAACGAACAAACAGAATTATCTTTTCTGCTTAACAGATTCGTTCCACAATTCAAATAAATGTTGATGTTGTCTTTTTAATGAACGATATTCTTGACTATCAATTGTTTGATAAATATGTTTAGGATTATTTGTTGTTGTTGATGATGATGTATCCATATGACTACTATCCGTTGAATTTGATATATTTTCTGAATTATATATTACTTGATGATGCGAACATTGTGGATGTGTATGATAAATCGGATAATGAATATGTTGTGAACATTTTTCGTAAATAGGTTGTTGATTAATATGTTTGTATTGATATATTTGATAACATAAATAACAACATGTTATAAGTAATATAATTGTTAATAAAGCACCAATACACGAACCAATTAATAATAAATATAAATGTTTATCATTAAAATCATTTGTTTTTGTATCAATATCTATATTATTATTATTATTATTATTATTAAAAATAAAATCATTTTCTTGATACTTTATTTGATTATTTATAATTGGATTTTTTGTAAATATCTCTTGACAATATTTATCATGCGCATATTTATGTATTATTAATAAACATATATGATAATATTGATTAAATTCTATATGATCTGAAATAAATGCACGTGTTTGGTTTGAATAAAATTTTCTTGATATTTGATAAGGTTTATCAATAGTTATTTGTAAATAATTAATTGCGTGATAATTATCAATTGACCATTGTAGAAAAAGAGCATAATTATTAAAAATTTTTATAAAACTTATATTAAAAAAAATAATTTGTGGCATTAAATTCGTTTGACATTTAAAATCTGATGATGAACATGACCATGTTGTTGTATTAAATTTTTTCATTAAATTTTTTAACCATTTTATATGACAATTACATTCAAATGGATTTAAATCTAAATTAAGATAAATTAATTGTTGAAAAAAATAATTTTTTTCAATCGTTTTTAATTGATTTGAATTTAAATCCAGTGATAATAAGGATTTTGGAAATGAATTAAATAAAATATTTGTAAAAAAATTTGAACTAAGATTAAGATACATTAAATTATCATTTAATATTGTCCAATCAATATATGTTAAATAATTATAACTTAAATCTAATATTGTTAAATTTTTATTTGATATTGTTAATGAATAAAATTCGTTTAAATTATTTTTTGATATATTTAATGATATTAAATTTTTATTATTTTGTAATATAATTGATGTTATATAATTATTAGCAAGATTTAGATAATAATATGTTGTTGATAGAAATATTGTTTGTGATAAAAAATTATTTTCTAAATTTAATTGTTTTATATGATTTATATTTGGTATATGTTTTAATTGACATGAATTTAAATAAATTATTTCAAGATTTGTCATATTATGAAAAAATTTTTCTAAATTTATATTTGTTAAATTAAATTGATTTAATTTAATTAAACGTAATTTTTTTAATGGATAACGTGTTAAAAATTCTAATGAATTTATATGATTATTACCAGTCAATATTAATTCTTCTAAATAATTTCCTAATAAACGTAATAAATTTTCATCTATATGAGATAAATTATTTCCATATAAATTAATACGTTTTATTGTTTTTATATTATCAAATGATGATGATGTTAAATTTTTTATATTATTATTTGTTAATATAAGTTCATCATAGGAATATGAACGTTTAAATTTTGGTATATGATCAAGAGAATATTCTTCACATTTTATATAAGATTCACCGTTTGTTAATATTCCACAATGACAACGAGATAAATATTCATCAGTTAATGGACAAGATTTTATTTGATGAATTAAGAAAAGAAAAACGAGTAAGAATAACATCTGAAATATAAAAAAATAACAATCAACACTTTACCTGGTATTTATCAAATGAATGCACACCGACAATAGACAATTAATATTAGATGAAATTTTAGACTGTCTGCGTTATCTCTCTTGAGTTTAAACATGTGTTCAACTATTTTATACATGCACATGAGACGGAGAATAGTTGATTATCTTTCTCCCCACTAGCTGATTGATATTCTACTCTTTACAAATATCTAAGATGACAAGAATAACATTCGAGTGAGATTTTTTCCGAATTATTTATGTAATACAAAGAAAAACTGATAAGAAACAGTCAAAAACAATTATTCATTATGTAAGATTGTAAATAGAAAGAGATAGGACAAAAGTATATATTCATATTTATTGAATTCCGAATGCATTCTTACTTTATACGCTGATAATGTACGATTCACACATATCTCATCACCATCGGCAATACAGTTTACTGACCTTTTTTCTTACCCACCCACTGTGTTTAAGCAAAAAAAAACTAAATCGATTGTCACTTCACTTCATGATGACGACCAAAACGTTAAGTGGTTTAATAGAATTGAAATGACAGGAAGAAAAGTTATCGTCACTCATCAAAAAATCGCTTCTCTTTCTTCATCTTCTGCATTTTTTTCCTTTTCTGAACACTATATGCCAATAAGCGGCAACAGACCGGATGACGGACATATACATACGCATAATGTTTTGTGAATGAATAGTTCATCAGTAGACACGCGTGTCGCTTGTGTAATCGTACTTGACACTCCGCCCATTTCAACAATATACAAAGAGTAAAAGAAAAAAAAGTCAAAATGTATGATGATGCAACAAATCGAATGCGTATGTGAACCGAGAGGTTTAATCGAAACAACACAAAAAAAAAACTCATTTGTGTCTTCCTATCGTAATCATCCAAAAAAAACGAGCAATGAGAAAGAGAAGTTATACTATAATAATATTATGACTTACTGCGGATAGATCATCGCGATGAACAACGATAGTTGACTGTCGTTTGTATCTCTCGAGAAACACAACACGTTAAATGAATGTTCATTTCTATTCATTTAATTGAAAAAAAGTATAATATGTATGTGAATAAGAGGAAAAAAAGAAAAAAACTTTAAACGAATTGGGAGTTTTAACTATGCATATATGCATAGTCATCTGAAAACATCGATCACAGAAAAAACGATTATCGACTTCCCGTGGTGGACAGAAGAGAAAAGAAAAGAGAAAAAAATCCACACCTGTTCGAATACGAACAGTGAAAAGGTGCAAAGTGTCTGTTCTCTAATCTTCAATAGCTCTCTGGCGTAATTCACTATGATGATAAGTGATTTAGCTCCAATTCTAGTATTGGACAGGTGAAGCCATTTTTTTTCTCTCTCTCTCTCTCGCTTTCTTTTTCTCTGTACCTTATCAATCTCATTTAAAAAGTCGAGTATACATATCCACAGATTCATCATCATGACAATATATATGCAAATATTCGAACCATGAAATGCTCCGTTATCGATAAGATGTGAGTGGAGAGCGAACACATACGTACATACTCATCATTACACTACTCAAGCATGCATACACTCGACAAAAGGTAACAATCCTACAATTGAATTAGACTTGATATTAATGAATATATAGAAAAATACTGATGATGGATTCATTAGAATTTGTTTTTTAAGTGTATACTAACAAATGGCTGATTTATAAGAATGGTGAAAAAAATCTAAATAAACTTATGATGATAGCAGACAGAATCAACAAATAACACGTACATGTAGAATTGTATTTGATAAGGATATGAGCCTAAAAGCAAACAATCAACACCATGTGAGTGACATAAACAGACAGAAAAAAGAAAAGAAGGTTCAATACTATGCTATCGGCAACGGAAGGAAGGTTAAATGAGTTGAGTTAAACACAAATGTTGACAGTATATGCGGAGATTTTTTTTCTTTTTCGTCAACAAAGCGAAATTTTATTTCACACATTTCATAGTTGAAATATGATAATAAACGTCAAATTCGAGGACAATTAATATATTAATTAACTCACGTTATATATTTCATTGGTCTTCCCAAAGTTAATCATTGATCCGAGCGAAATGTTAATGCCTTGAGGGTGACAAAATAATTGGTAAGAACTCTTTCAACACAGTCGATACTTGATTAGTTTCGACGGATGAGATAGAATGAGGCTAAGATACATGCACATTGCATGTAACAAAAAAAAGCGGAAAAAGTCAATGTTTGTCGGATCGTACACGATAATATCAAATTTGTCCTTCGATAAAAACAGAATTTGACGGAATCCCGTAGCTCTTCTGTAGTACTATAGTCAATTAGTAGCGAACGAGTTCTCTATACTAATATGATTAGACGACAACACTGTTATTATAATAACTGTTATTTCTTCTTTTTGCTGCTCCGTCTTCTCTTTTCTCTTTCTCTTTCTTATTCCAGTTCAGTTAATAAAGCAAACGAAGAAGAAAATAGAAAGGAGTAGATGTGCGCTCTCTTTTTCCCTCTCTTTTTCTAAGTTGGTCTCTTAGGGTATAAGAAAAACAACAACATCATACAAATACAAACCGAAAATTAACACTCTCACTAGATGATTACTCTACTCTCTCTCTCTCTCATGTATATCAAGCTTTCTTCTCGATTTCTTTAGGGATCTCATACATTCACACACACACAATTTATGTTTGTCAACCGAAGGCCATGTCCAGTCACGATTGATCAAGCGATTTTGGACTGTAGATCACTACCATTGCTTGTTTATAATCATGGAGAAAATAAAAGAGTAAAAGTGTTTGCATGCTTGATTGAAGTTCAATGATTAAACTCAAACGAACTATTCATATGATGAGTAATAATGGGCGTACGACCGTATAGAGCGCGCGTAGCTAATGTATACACAATCTCTTTGATATGGAAATTGACGTTCTACTGATATCGCGTTTCTTTTTCCCTTTCTATTGTATAATGCTCTATCAATGATTCGAGACGCAGTATACACACATACACGTTCAATGATATTATTAAAAAAAGTTAATCAACAATTGTTCGTTTGTTATTGTTTTTTTTTGTTCTCTTTTATTCGTGTCATATTATTGTCGACAGTTATCTGTCAGAAAAGCATTCATATTCATTGTTCAACAATTACTAGTTGTATTAATCTAACGTGAACCTATTCATTACATTAAACAGAGAAATTAGAATGTAGTGATAGCTATTTATTGAGAATCTAAACTGTTCAATCATATCAATATATATATATATATGTATCCGGAAGACAATAGATTCATGTCAAAATAAAATATTGATTTGACAACATAAAACTTAAAGTTTTCATACAATAGACAGATTATGTGCAGTTCGATTCAGTCTTTTTTTTTCTATTGAAGAAATTTGAATCTTGACACTAGACACCTCGATAGTCAAGTACACTTATTTAATGAAAATCATGTTTTTATCATGCACACAGAAAAAAAAGGATCAGACAGATTTGAATATGAATATTATAATTATTCGTTTTGTATATGAAATACATTGTTGTATATCCATTTTTTTAGCAATTGAGATTAAAACAAAAAGAAACAAATCATAGGAATGTATTTTCATTTAAGATCAAGTTTCTGGCATTAGTATGTGATTTTTCTCTTACTATCTCTCTTTATCTGCTAATATGCAAAGGATATAAAGCATCGTTTTGTAATTTTTCTCGTTATCACTGAATCATCATTGGAATTCTTATAGCATCAAAAAAGATCACATGTGTTCATTTGTATCTTTTTCAAGGTGAATATTAACAGAAAAAAGAAGATAATTGATTAGTTTGTTTATATATCTTTTTGAAAAGTCTTGCTAGTGCGATGCTACAAATTGCATTAGTCGATTCGGAATTATCTACCAACGATGATGATATTATACGGCACATGGTTAATGACAAGAATAGGGCAAGTGGACTTTTACATATAGAAAGACGAAGAGAAAGATATGACAGAAAAATAAAAGAAATGCTTCAATGTTATTGTTAGATACGTCAAAAAGATCCAGCATCCTCTTATTCTTTCTCCTCATCATCATGTATTTTGAACTGTCAGTCATCTTTGACAATTCATCAATGTTCTTCGACGATGATAATACCATACAAAACGACGACGACGGGCATTTCGATGCTCAATAATAATAATAACAATAATAGTATTACAGAAAAATCACCATCTCGTTTTTCGTATCTAATACGACCAACAACACCATGTATATTTGGAACAGAAAATTATGATGATCAATTAGTGGATGATGATGAATTTTTTATTACTGCTGGTGGTATTGTTCATTCATGTCCTAATATCTATGAATTATCAATCAAAGATGAACATGAATATCGAAAATTTCAATCATGTAATCTTTTAATGTTTATTAATAAACAAACAACATCAATAAATAATCATTTAAATACTTATGATACAGAATTCAATCATTATTCGATTTTACCTCGTTTTCAACCTATATCATCATCATTATCAACTGATTCAATTAATTCTGAAATAGAATTATATAAAGAAAGACATGCATTTGGTCTTTCTCGAAAATATCATCATACTATGTCAATACATTCATCATTTTTACCAAAAACATGGAAATCTGACAATTATCTTTTGCTTATGCCTGTTCTACGTCATCAATTTTCATCGTCAATTTCAAGTGTTCGTAATAAAGGATTACGTTCCTATAATATTCCAATTCGACGAACATTTACATCTATATTCTTTTGAAGTTTTTTCTTTCTTTTATTCTGTGATAATTTATTTCAGAGAAATTTGCTGAATTTAAAAAAAAATAGGCATTGTAAAATATCATTTGTTGACCTCGACTTTGGGAAAGACAGTTTAGGCAATAGAAAACGTCAATCACAATAAGTTTATTACATTAATAAATTCTCATACATTCTGTAGACATTTGTAAAATGTCACATCAATATATGTCGAGTATCGATGTGGGTGTAAATCTTTTCTTCATCGATATCCACACGCGCATGTCTAAAATAAAAAAATGGAAACATATATTGCTGTACTCAAACGCTTATCATCGAATGGGATGTTAAACACAAAAGTCAGTTACTGTCTTTTCAACGTATACATTCAATTATACTATCAATCACTATTAAACATACTTAGGGGGCATACCAAAAGTAGTGGTAGTGATACTTTAATACCGTATAGTAAGCTTTAAGAAACTTTCTTTCAATATAGTCTGATAGAGAGAACAATGCTCTTTTTTTCTATGCTATTTGATCATACTTCAACTAATATCATAATAATAAACTTTCAATAAGATCTGTTTCGTCAGAATTTGTGCTGGTTATATTAGATGATCAAGAGTGAACAGATTAGATGGACGAGCTTTGCATGCCAGTTTTCAATAACTTAATATGATGTATTAAAAAATCAAAATATATCACAAGATGCAGAAGCTCTACAATTTATAAAGCACAGCTTATTTTATAGTTGTACTTTTTGTTTTCAAAATGGACAAAACTCTATGTGACCAATTTTCAACCCTGCAAACAAAGTCATTTACTAGCACACGACAAATTCCTTTTCTTATTCTTTCGGTTAAAGAGTCACATCAAAAACGATAATCGATGACCGAGTTTAGATCAATGAATACGTGTTCCAATTATACTTCCTCATTCACTCTTATATTACTTGTTAGGAGCACATAAGAGCTACATAATAATAAATCACAAATGTATAAGTGCGGTTAGTTAAGGAAAAGATATGAAATTCGAAAATCTTCGAAAATTGGTCGCATAGAATTTCATTGATTTTGAAAACAAAAAGTACAACTATAAAATAAACTCTGCTTTATAAATTGTGGAGCTTTTCACGCTGCATCTTGTGATATATTTTGATTTTTTAATACAACGTATCAAGGAATTGAAAATTGAAATGCAAAGCAAGACCATCTAATCTTCTCACCCATTATCATCTAATACAGCCAGCACGTATTCTAACAAAACAGATCTTATCGAAAATTTATTATTATGATATTAGTTGAAGTATGATCAAATAGCATAGAAAAATAGAGCATTCTTTTCTCTATCAGACTATATTGAAAGAAAGTTTCTTAAAGCTTACTATACGGTATTAAAGTGTTACTGCCACTACTTTTGGTACGCCCTAAGTATGTTTCTATAGCCAATTTCCTTAAAAATAGATATATAAATATAATATTCATCGTCAATATCATAAGATGTATGCAAGTTCCTAGAATATGTTTTTTTTCCGATTTATTCGCTTGTTTCTATCAATTTGTTGATCAGGTAAAGACTGACATGGAGTATCAAACTCAGTAAAACTCATCTAAAATGACTTAGTTATTAAACTCCACAAAAACATGTAATGGAATGAGATAACTATTGCACGAAGTACGTGAGCCGTGATATGTGAAACATATTTCTGATGCCATGAATTGCAATCACCAGCTTTTTTCTTTTCGTTCAAGCAAAATATTCAACAAATGTGCTATCAATCATGTGACATAGTTTTGCAATCAACCAGCATTGATGCATTACAAAATATGAAACTGCACTTCGCTACTAACTTGTGTGTAAAAGGTCTTGCTACAAAATTATTCGTAGTCGTTATTTTTGTTATCAAACAAAAATAAAAAATAGTAATTTTCAAAAATCAAAAAGAATATACTCCATGAGATCTTTCATCAGCAATGATTTGGAGCTCATACCCTTACTTGAAAGCATAGCTTGTACAGATTTGATGATAATCTTTTCAATTTTTTCATTAACTTTTCTTTCAGTTGTTCAATAGTTTTTTTCTTCTCAACCTTTATTCTATACCATTTCAATCAGTATTGAATATGAAGTGTTGATCAAACGTGATTCTGAACAACTTTAAGGATTTCATTCTTTATGTACAAATTAACATTCATTCATCATCTATAACTGTGCTGCATTTCAACTTTAATGAGCGGTATCTTCAGGGAAACTGCTCCTTCGAAAGTCGATTTTCTTGTAAAATTCAATTCTTCAAAAAACACGTATCATTTTAGAAGTAAGAATCGCCTTTTCAGAATATGTGTTAGAATTATATACGAAATGAAAAATACTAAGTTCATTTTTGAAGCATTCGTTCGAAGCCGTAAAGAAAAATACGCTATTTTAGTAATGTTGTTCTTCGTTGTCGAAAACCAATATTGTTTCTTTTTATTTCTTAGCTCTCAAAAGAAAATATCCTATCGAGTAATCATGGTCTGATATTGTTAAGTTAGGTTTACAAAGGTTTCGTACGAATTTTTTTGAAATATCTTTTGTAAAAACCAAAACTTTGATAAAACCGAATCGAAAGCTATTTAGTATTCACTTTTTACAAAAACACTTGGTTCAGTGATGTGCGTTCTTTGTGTTAAACCTTCTCGGAAAGAAAAATCGTACGAGAGTCTAAAACAAAAGTTTTACGTTAGCTGCACTCACTCTGACCTGATTGTGTTGACTGATTCCATATAGTTTGTGTCAGTGTGACATAGGCTTTGCGGCATGAACACCTATGCCCACACACCCATCTTTCTATTGGCAGTTAGTATTTATATTTTTAGCTTTTCTTAAATTTCTTTTTACTATGGCTTTCCATGTTAAAAAATGAATTTTAGACAATTTCTCAAACTGTGCAACTGATACCAAGCACGATCACTTTGTCTACTTAACCATTATCACTATGTCGTGCTTTTTTTGGCTTCCCTTTTGGTTTCCTTATATCTAATTGCTATTAATGTACGTATAGAAGTTCAGTTCGATTGAGCCCACATGTGCCCATACCGATAGGTTACACTAATTAATTAACTATTTTCATCCGTATTTCTGTGAGAAGCCGCAATATCGAGAAAAAACTTAATTTGAAAAACAGCAAGTTCAGATGGCAGCAAATAATAAACATTCTGCAGTCATCTTAGCACTGTTTGAGAAATTGGACAGAGGAAACGTGCTTCTAAAACAAGCGCATATTAGTGTTTGTTCTCATCAAAGTCAAACTGTAAAAGAAATAATGACATATATGGTCTATATGAAAATGTTAATAGCTCGAAATGAACCGTAATTGTTAATGTTGACAAAGTGTGTCGGAGGATTAAGGCGAATCGCTGTACTTTGCACATATAACGGAACGATTTGTTCGTGTTGAAATAGAGCGTTCTCTATATCAGCTTGACGAACACCTCTAAATGCTTGTAGAGCAAATACTAGCAGAACGAGTCGTGTTGTTTCATTGATTGATCGGTATCTACTTGAATCAATCGTAATTACGCCGTCCGCGGTCGAGTTTCGTTGAATTGAATACCATGATATATTTAGCAAGATACCATCAACATGCAATTGAGCCCGAAGTGATATTGAAGCATAATTTCGAATTGCAAAAGAAACATTAAGATTTTGATTATTGATTGCAATCAATGGTTGATTATGAATAACCATGATAATTTGACTTGTATCAACCATTGTTCGTTTGTTTCGATGAACAAATATCCCATCACGATATCCGACCCGAGTACACACACGAATATGTTGAGATAGAACTGTGATGGGAGTGATCAAATCCGGATTAGCTGTTGAATAATTTGTCAGCATTTTACCATCTATACCGATAAGTTGAATCGAACTATTGAGAACTTCGTTAGAATTGTCACATTTGGTAATTGTGAATACTCCATTTTGATTGACTAGAGGCATCGTTGTATCGATGGTAAATGAGCCATCGGTTAGTGGAGCATAAACTTACGTTTGACAACGACATTCACTCTTTGCGTTGATTTCAACACCACAATTTTCGCTGCAATTGCAAGTCCATTGGCCGAAACGTGATCGATTGCCTAAGTTAATGGTGAATATTTGTAGGCAAGTAGCTATAAAACGAGAATTCGGTGGAAAAATTGATCCGTTTGGATCATATAGATTAAAGAGAAATGACAGGCTTGATGAGAAAACTTTCATTCGCAGTAAAGTTGATGTTGTCTTCAGGATGAATGACCCATGACGATGATTAGATATGTGCGGAAATAAAGCGCACTCATAGCCGACTGCTTCGTCAAGACGAGGAAAAATAAATTCTTGAGTTATTTCTAGTTGTACCGTGTTCACATTTGTAAAGAGACCACCAGTCAGACGGGTAAATTCAACAAGTTCATAGACAGTTCTGGACGTTGACTGCGTACTATTTACGAATAGAACATCGATTTTAGCCTTTTTTAATTCAGCTAGTGCCACAGTACGTCCTTTTGAATAGAAATCATGAACAGGAGCATCTGTGATTATGAATACTAATGAGTATGATTTGCACAATTGTAGTGCTTCGTTCAGTGCATGATAGCCGTGTTGCAATCGATTTTGAAGATCGGTCTTTTGTAGTTCTTGAATCAACTCAACAAAGGTATTGAATTCAGTGATAGTATAAATAGGTCCCCAATGCTGATCGTTGAATGGTACAAGTATATAGCTGATTGGTTTGACAGATATTGTTGCATTCGGAAGAGGAGTGAAGCAGTTGCGTTGCGAATCATTGTAATAAACTACTCTTGTCGCTTGCTAACATCAACAACAAATACAAGACTAAACGAGTTTGAGAGGCTAAGCAGCTTGCTGAACACATCGTTGTTGGCCAATGTCCACAGTTCGCTTAGTATTTTGACACCAGCTGCATAAGCTATTGATGCTGCTTGAGCATGCAAATGTCTATGATCGGCATTTGCACTGTCTTTATTGATACCT